TTTCATTCTCATTAAGGAGAGAGAAACGGAGGGAGAGAGGACACGATAATAAATACACCTCTGATAGAACGAGCAGATCGAAGAAGAAATTATCCGGATTACGGACGCTCGTTCTTGTTCCCGTGACGCTTTGTTCGAAATGCACGACGATATAGTCACAGGTTAAGAACGTGGCGGCATTATCTCGGACGGACTGTCTTGTGCAGTAAATCCCGACAATTAAACCGGGATTTAAATTTTCTTGAAGACAAGCGCAGAGACAGACAGAGAGAGAGAGAGAAAGAAAGAAAGAAAGAACGAAAGAAAGAGATCCACAAAAAGATAAAATTTCACGCTCTTCACGGTCCCTCGACGAGGAGTTACCTCGCTGAAAATTTCCTTGACCGTAAAATGCGAAAGAAATTTACAGCCTCACGTTAACTTGTTCGCGCCGAGGCTTAAATGTTCACTGAGCGAAAGTTCCGCGTTTCGCATTCATCATCGTGGGGAAGGGGGAGGGGGGGGGGGACTTTGTTTCTTTTTACGCACTCCGATGTCTTCTTCTTGAAGAAGAAATTCTCTTCTGGCGTTCTAACGTCCGGTAAAATTCTCATCAATTTTCTGGCGTACCGCCACGGCCACGTTTCATTCTTTCACGGTAATCCGCGTCATCGAAGCCATCATCGAAAGCGACCGATGACGCGTCGGGTGATAATCAAAAACGCTTTCGTCGCCAAGTCGTAAAGAGAGACGTGACTCACGTGCTTGTGTGTCGGAGGTGTCCCGCAAATAAGAATGGCTGCTCACGTTTAAGGAGGTTACAAGGCGAAATGAGTTCGGCGAAAAATTCGATGAAAAACACAAGCACTACGTATATATTGAAATATGATTAAACTGCTTGTGCAATTAGAAATAGATTGACCATTTTCGAGAGCTAAGATATTTTTAACTCAAGTTGACACTTTCGATACGCCCTCTGATAAGCCGAAAATACGATGCTGAGCCTTACATCCTTCTTAATCCTCATCAAGGTGTTTACGAGCCGCGGGGCCACGACGAAATCGCGAGGTGCGCAGACACGACGCATAACTTTGCCGTAACGGTAATCTCAGGTGCGTTGTTCGCACCTTGTGGAAAGTGCGCCGATCGCGCCTGCACCGGTTTCATTTTCATTCAACGCGCAACTAGCAACTCGTTTCTTTGGAAACGCTGCACTATGGACACACGCGGACGCAGGACGCGAAAGAGAGAGAGAGAGAGAGCGGCGGCTATCGATTCTTCTCTCTCTCCCTCTTTTTCTCTTTCTCGATGCGGAAGCCTGCATTTATCTATATCGTCCGCAGTCTTATTATTCCTTGGAATCTGCGCAATTCCGGCGGTTACTGTTCGACGGTTACGGCTTGGAGACGATCACGATACGCCCATACGTCGTTTTCATTTGCATGTGCGACGTGCTCAGTTCGCTGGATATCATCTCGAGTGCAGTTTTGCGCAAAAATTGCGCGCAGCGCCATTTTTACGATCAACGCTGACATAAATGCGAGCGTGACGCGAATTTATCCATTCGTTTGTTTAATCAACGGGGAAGAGAGGGGATGCTTTTTTTAAATAAATCGTCGTCATTAAAATAAAACGGCTTAATATTAAATCGAATTTTACGTTGGACACGGCTCGCGCGCGGGAATAACCAAGACTGCCTCTTATAATACGTATTCTCTCGAGTTGAATCAGTGAAACAGTATTTCACCGATAATCAGTGAGTATTCATTAATTTTTACGTGGAGAAAATATTGTAGTAAAGATTATTACAAAAATTTTTAATACTGATACATATCGGAATAATTATTGAAACTACTATGTGTGTTGTAATCTTTAGTGACGTGTACACATGATATAATGAATTTGCCTAACGCTTCACTGATTCTCGCCAGTGAACAATTCACTGCAAATCGCTGTCACGCGTTCCATATAGCAGAAAAATATGTAACTGCAGAAACGGTGAAAAAAGGTATTATTTCCCTTAAAAATGGAACCGATCCAACATCATCAGTTAAGTTGAAACGTTCATGAGTTACTGATGCAGCGAATTGCAGTACTTTTTCTTAAGGGTTACTACTTCTTTTCTATTATCCTAATCCCACTTTTAAGCTATTCTGTCAACGATTTTGCCCGAAATTATTTTTAATCACGTTTAATCGATTTAATTTATAATTATTCGTATTTGAAAGACACGCTAATCCTAACGGGATTCGAGCTCGAACTGGCGACTATTGACTGCTTCCCAGTGATAACACATTGACTGTACTTTGGAGAGCACCGTAACGCACTGTTATCGGCGCTGTCAGCTGGGGGATTACGCCGATCGATTAATTTCGAGCTTCCTCGACGGTTTCGGTAACGCGAAAAATACAAAGCCGGACGGGTGAGAGCGCACGCCGCAACGACGAACGTTTCACGGAGGATTCCTCTTCGGCTTCTCTTTCGCATTCGCAACATCGGCGTCGGCGGTTTCTCGCGGTAACGTCGCTCCCGCGAGCTCGTGACGATTCGCGGCGCGATATCGCTCACATTCCACGGGCTGCACGTCACTCGCACCGAACTGCACCGTCGTCGGACCGAAAGCGTTCTCGCGAAAGTTTGCAGAAAATCGCGAGCGACACTTCGCGCGACCGGCCGCGTATCGTGGATTCGCGGATGCAGGGAAATACGAGAATGTGATAAGCTGCACCGGCGGAAAATTATAGTCAATTTCAGCGCCAAGCATATCCTTCAACCACAGAAATAGTCGGAAGAATCATTTTTCCAGTGATAAGTGTTGCTATAGTGTCAGTGATAGTAACCTCGCGAGCGTTTTGCCACTACTATCAAATATATTTGGCGCCGAAACGAAGAATTTTCTATCAGTGTACGATTCATTATCGCTCGCTCCGATGTCTTTACCGTCGATCACGGGGGAGGGAGCAGAAAAATGATGCGAGGGCGAAATATCGTATCATGCTGGCTAGCAATGACGGTAGACACGAATTTACCGGCTGGACACCCGGGTTCAATTTCTACCAGGGAAGACGCATGTAATTTTACCTTGACGTTGAACTGTTCGCGAATAAAATCTCTTATCCGATCTCGCTCGACGGTGCGTTAACTTCTCAACGATAAGTGCTCCGTATCGTGAAACTTCCTCGTTATGCCGGCTAATAAAAACCCAACTTGAAAATAGGGCCGAAAATTCCGACGCGCGTTTTCTGTTAATCGAGCCTTGACGAGCTCGAAGTGCCGGCGGCTTCTTCGCCCTGGCCGGTTTACGATGCCGAAGTTGTTGATGAAAACAGTCTTGACACTAATTCGCACACGATTAATTAGTCGCGTCCGCACCGTGCTTTTTAGCAGCAACACTTACTCGCTGGCGAAGCTAAGACGGAGCGGCTCCTCGATGATGCCCACACACGTGTGTGTGTGTGTGTGTGTGTGCGCGCGCCTTCACTCGCTCTTTCACTCTATGAACTCGACGAGAAATGTCACGCCCTCGCGCGAATTGTACGAATTCATACCGCTATTCTCATCAAGATCACTTCGTGACTACACCGCCCGTGTCTGAGAAGGTTCGGCGAAGTCGTCGATCCGAAAAGATCTATTGAACGTATACAGTCGTTATTATCGGTCTACTTTTCGGCGATCCATTTCTCAGAAATATTTTATTGTATTTTATAACATATCATTTTTCGCCTTCCTGTATTTTTCTTCCACTTCCCTTTAATTATATATATTAATGCGTTCCAAATTTTTTTGCGCTAATTATTCTGTTTATCTGTCTGCTATTTCGTTACTGTAATTTTGGATGCTAGAAGAGTCCCTCGATAAAGATTATTATTATTACTATATATTAAAATTAAATCAATTATATTGCACATGTTAGTTGCTTTTCTTTGCATATAATGACAATTTATCAATTTACTTTACGTGATCCGAATTACCACACGTCTAAATACCATGTTGCATTTCAAAACCCAAGTCAACGAAATTGTACATCAATATCAAAATCACTCTCGCCAGGATTACTTCATGACTACACGCTCGTGTCTCGAATAATCCGAGGGGGCTCGATTGGATCGATCGGTCGATCCGAAAAACGTAATATTAATATCACGCAAAGGATAAAAGCGCAGTGACGACCTCGCCAATTGTTACGGCCCCCCGAAAATCTTACCGAGCGGCACGCATCGGAATATTCGCGTGCGAAATCCTCCGTCGAGTCGCCAACCGTTAATTCTGTTAATTGTCGCGACGAACTTCGCGTGTGCGTGCTACATCGCGTAGTACAGAGATAGCGACCCGCGATAACTGTCATCGCACGAGCGCGAACGTGCCCGGAGATATGCCCGAAGTTCGCGTTCACCGTCTCCAGGGAAATAGTTAGCGAAGCCTTTGATCAGCCCGTAAACAGATAACGCTGGCTTAAAGTGATATGGAATACAACGAGAGATAAGGCGGTGCAGTGTCAACAGTGTCCCCTGTGTAATCGATCCGTAAATATCGCGGGTTTAATACTTCGCGTGGTCTGTGGAGTACACGCTAAGCGTACCCGAGTAAATACCGAAGAGGATGGTTGAAAAAGCAAAAGGAACGAGAAGAAACAACTGAATAAGTCCGATATAACTTTTACAGTTGTTCAATTGAACGGTTTCCATTGTTCTTTTTTCATACGCAATGCTTATTTATCGGCCCAGCTTTTCGACGATCTGAGTTATTCCATTTCTCAAAAGAATATCATACTGTTGTACCAATATCAAAATTAACTCAACTTTTAACTCAAGTTGGTCCTGGTTTAGGCAAACTTTTTCAACTTAACCAAGCTAATTTTACGGGCCGTTAATTTTTAACTTAGTTAAAAATAACAATTATTTACTCTAGCCTATTTTTCATAGTCGTATGAGGGAGGCGCAGTATTTTAAGATGCAAAAAATACGATAATAATTGTGAAAATACGTATGAAAAAAAATACCATATGATTGATTTTTCCACAGATTCTCAGGATGTCGACCTGGATGCGATCCTCGGTGAACTGTGCGCCCTGGAGCGACGATGCGACGGCGACATCGCCGCCACGCCCGCACCAGATTCGCAGAGGCCAGGACGACCCACCAGCGCAAGAATCAATCCCGGTGACAACACTGACATCAAAAATGAAGGAGGTGCGATCTCGGACGCGAATCATTTTTTTTAATCATATTATCATATCGTAGTACATTATAATGTATCACAATAACGCAATTCCTTAACATATTTCTTATATTTATCTTCCTCATATTTATTTCATCCTTAATATTTACTTCTATTTCTTCATTCTATCCTGTGCTGCAGGTTTGCGCACCGACAGTCCTGACAACGACAGCGCGTTCTCGGACACGGTGTCCATGTTGTCCAGCGAGAGCTCAGCGAGCAGTAGCGGCTCAGGTCACAAACCACCTCAGACCGCCATGCACACTGCCCCTCAGCAGCAACCTCATCAACTTGTTGGTGAGTGTTTATTTTGTAAGGGGACGGAATCTCTCCGTAATTATAGATTACGAATGAATCAAGTGTGCTCAAATGATCAAAGTAACTTGAACTTCTCCCTCTCTCTCTCTCTCTCTTCATCTCTTTGCGTTTTGCGCATTCAAGACATTCGCGCGCTGCGCGATTGAATTATCTCTCAGGAGGGAGGGAGGGGGAGGCGGAGGGAGGAGATTATAATTTTTCACTCCCCGGAGAAATTATTTACGCGGAAGGAACGTGCATGTTTGTTTTGATCTTCGCAGACGCGGCGAGCAGAGCGAAGGCGGAAAAGATCCGCCTGGCGCTGGAGAAGATGCGCGAGGCGAGCGTACAGAAGCTCTTTATCAAAGCGTTCACGTTAGACGGCAGCGGTAAGAGCCTCCTGGTCGACGAGGGGATGAGCGTTGCACACGTGTCGAGGCTGCTCGCGGACAAAAACCACGTGCCAATGGATCCGAAGTGGGCCGTGGTTGAGCACTTGCCCGATCTCTTCATGGGTGAGTCTATTTGTCAAACGTTTATTATCTCCTATTTGTCGAACGCTAATTGCTCAACCGGTCGCGCAATCATTGTTTTACAACGGACGATATTTCGCAGACGATAGAACGATATTTTCATTCAGAAACTGAATATTAAATTAATATTCATTATCTCGATGATCCTCTCTTTTCTTTCCTCTTTGGAATTTATTAAAATGACATGTCAAAAAGATCTTTCAACAAATCTGTAACTAATATTTTTTTAATAATTAATAGTTTTATAATAATTTTTTTACATAAGATTGTTAAGAAATAAGATTTTCATGTGTTATCCGTGGACAGATAAGATAGATTTCTATATATTCGTCGGTTAATCTTTTCACTCGCGTTATTGTTATAATGAAAGAAAAAAAGTATTATATTCAAAGTTGCGAAAGTGTGGCAGATCGCGAGCGCCGGAAAACGTTCCCGTCACGCCGCCGCCTGATAAAGAAGTAAGAAGGCGAGTAAGTAAGTAACGGGCGAGCTCATTGGCGAATTTTTCAGAGCGGGTTTACGAGGATCACGAGCTACTGGTGGAGAATCTCCTGCTGTGGACCAGGGACTCGAAGAACAAGCTGCTGTTCGTCGAGAGGCCAGACAAGACTCAATTGTTCCTCACGCCCGAGCGATTCCTCCTGGGTCCCACGGATCGCGGCGGCGGCGAGTACGACTATCACTCGAGGAATATGCTATTGGAAGAATTCTTCTCGAGCAGCAACGTCGGTGTGCCCGAGGTGAGGGACCTAATGACATGTTTACGATCCCGTCGTGCGCCTTGGCAGCCGGGCCAAGCGACGTCGACCCTCGATAACGACTCGATGTTGGCGCGCATCCCGCCTGCTCTTCTGCATCAATTGCTACTCGCTTCCAGGTCGAGGGTCCCCTCTACTTGAAGTCGGACAGCAAGAAAGGCTGGAAGAGGTATCACTTCATTTTACGGGCCTCCGGTCTTTACTACTGGCCAAAGGAGAAGGCGCGCACCGCCCGGGATCTCGTCTGCCTAGCGACTTTCGACGTCAATCAGGTTCGTCGTTCATTTCGCGCACCTTTCCTTCGGCCGTCGATAGAGTAATATCCGCCGGTGTAATTAAATTATCCGTCGCCCGGGGACCAGATGATAACTCGTACGGGCAAAAAGGTTTTTGCTTAGTCTATTGTTCTCAGTCGTCCCAAGTGCGGTCGAATGTTCTCATTCGCGGTAACAGAGACGGCATTTCTTGTCACTGAATATTCATCTGGTCCCTGTTCAGTTGCAGGAACTGAAATTTTTTTTGTCCTGTGGATGTAGAGGAAAAGCACCAGAGTCGACGTGTCACTTTTTTTTAGAGGCTCCAAAGCCCCGTGTTGAAAGTGGAAAATTAAAATGTATATGCACGGATGAAAACCAGCAGCAGTTCTCAAAATGCATGATAATCTTGTGAAAATTATTACGTTTCTTCGGAAATAACTATTTTCTTAAGAGGACTGACGCTTCTAGAAATCAGGTCCCAAAAACCGACATACCCGTAAAACTCACAGAAAATTATCAAAAAAGTCGAATAGAAACGCTGAAGTTACATTATTTTTCACATTTATTATATATCCTTATCTTCTTTAATTTTACATATTTTTGCAAACTTTAACCGTTTTACGATGTATATTGCTCCTGTATCATGTGAAAGGAAATCCCCTGATTTCTTCTTTCTGAGCCATCTTGAACAAACAAACAGGAAAAACAGAGCGCAATCAGTCGCCGATAACTTCAACTGTACACTGTGAAATGATATTTCACAGCAAAGCTCATGTATGTCGGTTGAAAGATCAATAAACTCAGGTATGTCGGTTTACAGAACAAACCTAATTCTAACTTTTCTTGCGTGATTCAGTAACAAAGGACAAAAATCACCGCAAGACCCAAAGTGATCTAAACAGTTCCGAACTCACACTGCGAAATAGTACTGTCAAATAAATCACTTTATTTAATTACCACTGATTTGTTGCTTTAATTTTCACAAGAAGACAGTCCGATAAAAACTTCAGCGAAACGAAAAATCGAACGACACCGGCAACGCAATCGAATGCGTTTGCGAACAGAAACTGCCACTTCAGCTCTAACTATTGTCTACAATAAACGAAATCCATATTCTGTCCAACAGAGTTCAATATTTCACCATACCTATGTCAGTTTTGGTGTTTTTCCCCTACATTCGACTTATTAAGTCATGTTTAACACTATGCCGTCCCGGGATATCACGTTGGTTTCCCGCGAAAATTATCGCGCAAAGGCCGGCGACGGCACTGTGGTGCCGTTTGTGTTCTGATCGTGTACTGTTGGTGTTCTGTTTGTGTTCTGTTTAAGTAACAATAAGTTACAGGCATAAGCGTGTTTGTTTATTTTTATAAGTACTTGTGCCCTTTGATAATGGCAAACGAAAGAGAAGACACGGTTATTCAAGATGAATGCGCGGACAACTTGTCTGACGTTCCAATTGAATTTGATGATTGCGAAGAAGCAGAAGACATAGCATCTTCAGAAAATCAAAGTGAAGCAGAATCTTCGGACGATTCTGAAATAGGTACACGAAGAATTCGGCGAACGCTATGGTTGCCAACTGACGAATCAGATGAAGATGACAGTATAGAGTGGTCAGACTTTGACTTACCCAGGACCAATAATGAATTTGAAGGGTCTCCGGGTCCTTACGTATTTCCCAGAGATACACGAAACGTCGAGGATGTCGTGGAATTATTTATCGAGAACGATTTGTTTGAATTTATTACCAATGAAACGAATAGGTACCATAATCAAAATTCCAATAGGAGGAAACTAGATGAAAAAAGTGCCAAATTTGTCGACGTTACGGCAGCCGAATTTAGAAAATGGTTTGGGCTTGTTATTCTTATGGGAATCGTAAAAAAGGCAAGGATGGACGATTATTGGTCTACGAATCCGTTGTTAGAAACGCCAATATTCCGCAAAACGATGTCTCGCAATAGATTTCGACAAATATTATCATTCTTACATTTTTCAGATAACAATAATAAACCGAATAATGCCGACCGACTTTTCAAGGTCCAAACCATAATTGATTATTTCTCAAAAAAGTTTCAAGAAAATTTTAATCTTGGCCAAAACATTTCAATCGATGAAGGAAGATACCATGGCGTGGACGATTGAATTTTAAAGTTTATAATCCATCAAAAATTACAAAATATGGTATACTCGTCCGGATGCTATGCGATTCCACTACGGGATATATTTCCTTGTTGAAAATATATTCAGACGTTGGACAACCTTTGACAACGTTGGACAACCTTTAAAGAATACAGTGATGGAACTATTGAACACATTTTTGTGGAAAATGGCATCATCTATCTATACATGGATAATTACTACAACAGTGTAGAACTTGTGGAGAATTTGCTTACAAAGAAAATTCGGGTTTGTGGAACCCTGCGACAAAACAGAGGATTTCCGGCAAAATTAAAGAACTCAAAACTAAATATATTTGAAACTAAATATCAACGAAAAGGTGAGATACTCGCACAATTATGGAGAGCATCGAAGACCAAAATGATACGAATAATTTCTACCATATATAAAGCCAATTTAGTTGACGCACAAAAAATACGTAGAAAAACCAATCGCACGATTCAAAAACTTGAAAGTGTAATGGATTATAATAAATACATGAAGGGAGTGGATCGAGCGGACCAATTTCTTAGTTACTATCCTATTTACAGGAAAACTATAAAGTGGTCGAAAAAAGTGGTGTTATACCTGTTTACTCGCTTAAATTAATGTTAACTCGCGTTAATGTTTACTCGCGATACCTTGGTGCGAGGGGATTCGTACTTCGGCGGCAGTAATCGCAATTGCATGTTACATCCGCCGTGTCGTTTCCTCCTGTTACGCGTCTCAAGATCACACGATCACACGTCCGGTTCTTTAATTGTACTCTATAAGCCTCTCCTCCCCCCATCCGCCGATCACTTCTCTCTCGAGCCGTCATCAAGAGCATCGTCATTATCGTCACCATTAAATCAGGTTTACTACGGCGTCGGCTGGCGGAAGAAGTACAAGGCGCCCACCGACTTCTGCTTCGCCGTGAAGCACCCTCGACTGCAGCAGCCCAAGTCCACCAAGTACATCAAGTTCCTCTGCGCGGAGGACAACGCGTCCCTGGAGCGATGGATGGTCGGCATTCGCGTGGCAAAATACGGCAGGCAGCTGATGGACAACTATCGCGCCCTCGTGGACGAGCTGGCGCAGGAGGACCTGGATCTGTTGGCGCACGCCAGGTCGTGCTCGGTCAGCTCCATCGCCGCGCCGGCGAATCAGACCCAATATAACACGACCAACGACAACGCGAGGCAATACGCGGAGAACTCGAGGCACAGCAATGAGACCGGGGTCGTCGCCGCGACGAGGCAGTACGACGGTCAGCGGCAGAGCTACAATCCGGAGCAACGGCAGAGCTACAACAACGACGGCAGGCTCAGCAGGGCGAGCAGTTCCAGTTCCAGCGGATGCTTGTCCGACGGGGCACCGAGCAGTTGTGAGGTGATTACGGTGAAAATGTTCCGAGATACGCGGATGAAAGAAAAACAAGCCGGTTGTATCGGGTAGAATTAGAGTCCCTCGAAGTAAGAGTTTTCGTCTCCGACTTCTTATTGGCCGGTCTAGTTCGAAATTTGATGAAAGAAATCGCGCAATCGAGAATTGTCGAATAAATGGACTCGATTTGCGACTAAACGTTATTCTAAGATGGGGCGAACTTAGGTGACATTGTTTGGAATTCACTTCAGCCTTCTAGCCTATCTCTTTGTACGGTGGAAAATATGTAACGAAAAATGCACGGGCAGGTGGCCTTCGAATGCGGGGAATTCCCAACGGGCACGATCAAACGGAAGCCGTCTATGAACCCGAAACTGCCCCTCACCTCGATCACGAGGCAGCTGAAGGAGGTCGGCGAAACGGTCCGCGACGAGCCGGATTCTTGCCCGAGTCCGACGAGCTCGGGATCCGGCACGTTAACCAGAAGACACAGTCGTCGTCGAAGCGGCACGGATTCCGACGGATCCGGGACCCTGAAGAGACACCATCGATCTGGAAACGCGACGCCCGTCAGCCCGGTGCCACCCGGTACCCCGGTAAGAGAGAGGGCAAGTCCCATGGGATACAGCAGGCCGGACAGTCAAGAGCCGAAAACGCCGACCAGTCCAATACAGACTTGCATGGTACGTACATACAATATTGATATTTCTTCGTTTCTTCACTGATCGATTTACAAATAGAAATGGGATACTCCTCGGTACAGAAAAATGAGCGAACGTAGGATGCTTGTAAAGAGTAAATTTGCAACAAGAGGAAAAGAGGAGAAACTGAGAACGCCTCCCCTTATCCTTGGCAGCTCATGCATATCCAATCGGACGGAAAAGCACGCATAAAGCAATGCTTAAACGGATCCCCGGTGTCTTTCGAGCATTCGTCAGACAGAACAGCGGATTCTTTCGACGAGTAAACGATCAATCCCGCGATCCTCCAGCCGAATCCAATCTCCCTCGCGCAACGTTCCAAGTATGGCATCCCCGCCGACCAACTCGACGTCTTACAGATGGACTCGATCACGTCGTTGCCGCCGCCGCCGTCGCCGTCGAGGGTCGCCGAGGAGGTCGAGTCCGACAGCGAGCCTCTTCCGCCACCGCCCCCGGAGATGTTCCGGTCGAACCTCTCGTTGGACTCGCTGCCGCCGCCGCCGGCGCCCGGGGAACTCCCGGTCTGCAACACACCGGAGCTGACCGGCTCCTCGCTGAGCCTGGCGTCGTTGCCGCCGCCGCCCAGCCCGTTGGTCGGCGAGACCGGGACGATACGTCGCGCCAGGCCGAAGCAGTCCACCCCCACGAACTCGGTGACCCCCGAGAGCACGCCCACGCACACGCCCAGGTCCGGTCAGACGAGCAACGCCGCGTCCTCCCCGCACAGTTCCTACCCGGGATCGACGGCGAGCACGCCGACCTACGGGCCGAGCTCGCCGAACTTGGCGTCGCCGCCGCCGTTCGTGCCGCCGCCGGCGTACGGCTCGCAGCCACCGCCGGCGCCGCACCACGCGAACTCGCAGAGCCTCGGCAGGCAGAACTCGAAGGTCGAGCGGGACTCGTACGGGAGTCACCACCACAACACGATCAACACGATCCAGCCGATCAGACCGAACCCGAACATGGACACTGTGCGACGCAGCGCCATGAAGCAAGGGACCGGTCACTACGCGGCACCGCCGTACCTGGCCGAGCTGAAGGCCGCCTCCAGCCCGCAGCCGCAACGCCGGGTGACCATTCAGGAGCCTCCGACGTCGCCCAAGTCGAAGACCGGCACCGGCAAGAAGATCACCTTCAACCTACCGCCGCAGCAGGAGCCCGGCAGCCCGGCGTTGCCGCAGCGCAAGCCGACGCCGCCCCGGAGGTCCGACAGCACCAGGCTGACGTCACCGAAGAAGCTGGCGGCGTCCGACCAGGCGCCGCCGGGCGACTTCCTCAAGGACCTGCAGAGGGTGATGAGGAAGAAGTGGCAAGTCGCGCAGAAGTGCAAGCTCGACTCCACGACGACGCCGCACGAGGTGCTCGGCTTCCGGGACCCGCCGCCGGCGGTCGCCGATTACCGGGAGACGAACGTGTCGAACTGGGTGCAGGAGCACTACGGCGCCGACAACCTCTACGAGAACGTGTACGCGACGGACCCGCACGCGCCGGTCGAGTACGCGTCCAGCCCGGCGCGGCAGTCGAGCGTGAGGTTCGCCGACGAGAACCGCAGCATGAACATCGTGAACGCGATCGCGGGCAAGAGGAGGCCGCCGCCACCGCCGCCGAAGAGGGCCGAGACCACGCATCTGACCACCACCAGGGCGATGCACTGACAATAGCAGATAATCCAGCCCCATCCCGAGAGGCGATGGTATTGCTGTCTCTGCGGCTGGTGGAAGGACTGAGGCGAGGCGCCGAGGCTTCGTCGACCGTCGCGCGACCACCTCGCCGTCCCGGCTTACCGGAGACCCGGCCTCGTGCGCGCCCGTCGACCTCGCCTCGCCCACGAGAGAAGTTGCTCGGCCACCGGCTGTCGCGGCGGAGGAGCGAGTCGGGGGAAGGAGAGCAACCGGCGAATTTTCGAGCCGAAGTCGCAGCGATGAAGAGGAAACACTGCCGCACGGACGAAGGATGTGATAGAAACCTCGGCTCCACCCGCGGAGGATCGCGCGCGGAAGGCGATCGAGAATGACGAGAACGAGGCAACGCGCAATGCTGGGTTTTTTCTTTTTCAGGGGGACGACGGAGGAGGGCCGAATTTACTCGCGAAGAGGACGATTCTCTCGCCCGCGCCTTTCCACGGACTTTGCTTTGCGAACAGATGTTACGCATTTGTTACGAGCGTTTCTTGACGAATAGATATCCTCAAAGTCCGGTATTCGTTCGGTTTCGACGAATTCAGTGAAGTCAACTGAAATATGATTACGTCCGAAAGCACGTCGCGACTAAATTCAGGAGGAATCTGTACGCCACGTTCTCCAACTTGAGATCCGTTTCGAGGCTCTCGAAAGGAGAGATGCGCGTGAACGCGTGTCATCTCTCTCTCTTTCGAGTGACTGTCTATCGCTTCGAGAGTGTGTTCCTGGATAGAAGAGGAAGAAGGAGGAACGAGGAAGCAACATTACGACGACGGGGAACAACATTACGACGAAACGCCGAGGAAGTCGCCGGAATTGATCTCAGTTCGAACCGGACGCGAACCGGCGATTTTTGGCGCGGCGGTTTCGCTTCCATTGACGAGGAACGAAGGACGGATGCCAGCCGACTCGATCGAAAATACCTTCTATGCAACCTAGCGTCTCTCGCGATCACATCCATGTGCATAGGTATATATGTATATAAACTTACGCGCGTTTATATTATATACATCGCTATATCGACTCGATGCTGTATGTGTAGTTGTATCATACAATCCGAACGCGAATCTGACCACGTAGACGAGACAACGGGAGATGGGTAAAACGAAGTCGTCCTGGTACGACCTCTTTTACCAGGCGTACCCTATATATTAAGGACGACGAAACGACGACTTTTTTCGCTCGTTCGGCAGCCGCGCGAGCCGCGAAGCCTCGTCACGGCACAACGCCTCGTCGCGAGAACGCGAGATCTCGCGTATGCCATTTCTGTATCCCTTCGATAACGAAGAGTTAACGAACCGACGACTTGACACGAGTCGAGTTCGGAGGTTCGGATGAAACGAGAAGAGTATCAAAATTCACGCGAGAGTCACCGGCCGAACGAGCGCGCGCCGGTCGGACCCGCGGATAAAGAGAAAGAGGAAAGCTAGAGAGAGAGAGAGAGAGAGAGAGAGAGAGAGAGAGATGTAGGTAAAAGAAATACTTATTCTCGGATACTTGGAATATAAAACGGAAATTTGGAGGGTGTTTCAATACTTTGCATTCGCGACTGCTCTTCTCCTATTTCGAGTATCCGACCGCTAGGATTCGACAGACAGACAGACGGCGCGACGATTGCCGCTTCACGCGCGATCGCACCGTCGCGTTTGGCCGAACGACGAAGAAACAGTTATAATGCGTAGCTTCCCGTTTGTGATCACCGAAATGGAATCTTCAGCAACGACTGCGGACACCTTCTGAAGGTCGCGCGTAACCGATGTAGTTTTATATCTCGATTTGTATCGCGTTTGCATGACTTACATGTGAAAGTTTAAACGAACACTTCGGAGCTCACGGAGCGTCTGTATCGTCGGATTTTTATATGTAAAAGAAAGTGTCCGGAGGCCGCTCGAGTACGCCCGTCGGTGCGACCAGTCCATCCCGTAGAAAGTATTTTATACGATCGAATTTTGATACGCAGAGATATTTCGTCACGTAGTTAACGAACGCGCGGACAATGCGAGAGCGCAGAAGATCTCACTTTCTCGAGATAGAGCGAAGGAGAGAGAAAGAGAGAGAGAGAAAGAGAGATCGTCGGAACTTCGTTCGACGAGCAGTCGTGATTTTCCGACTCGTCGATGCTGCGAATTCTCCGGTGCGATGAGCCGCCCTGCTCTTCCCTTCCGAGACCAGCGACGACGACTAGTCGACCACAGAGAAACATATTACTTATATCGCGAAGAGAAGCAACTGTTCAGTGTCTATTTTCCTTCTTCCCGGTGTAATCCTCTTAAGATAACGGTCATCTTGAAGAAAGAATATTCTTCTGGTACAGTATTAAAACCCGTACCCATCGCAGATATTAGAAAAGTGCATTATTATTTACTCGAAGGAAAAGTTGATTCTTTTTTGAGGAATATTATGAGCTTTATGGAAGGAAAGTTAAATTCGGTTGATTGGAATAAGTTAATCAAGTAAATATATCTGCAGATATCATAGGTTCAACGTAAGCATCGAATTTATCCGAGATATGTTCTTGATCCCCTGATAAGTTTAATATTTCAGTCGACGATATTGCATCAAAAAACTAAAACTTCGGTATTATACGCATTCCGACTGACCGAAATTAACTTTCCTTCGATAAAGTATATAACATTCTTGAGAGGCAATTTTTGTTTTTTTTTTTTTAATAAATGATAATGAGCTTTTCTAACGGTATTTGATTAGTATATTTTAATACTATTATCAAGCAGAAAGATATTCTTCGTTTAAGACCAGCCATCGCTCGGAAAAGGAGAAAGGTAAATCGAGCCATCGCTTTCCTTCGCATACAGTAATATTTTCTCGTGTGCAGACCCGTCGATCTCCGCTGCGCTTTCAGATCACTCCCGATGAGCCCCGTCGCACTTTTGCAGTTTTCTAAAAGGATTCACATCGTGCCTGCGCGCGAGAAATTGCCCGACCTTCGAAAAATCGTATGCCTCGCGTGTCTGTGTGTGTGTACGTGTGTGTGTTCGCCGGTGCGCGAGGATTTGCCGAGTTTTTTTTTTTATAAAAAGGGGCTCGCGCACACAAGATCGAGATCGCGCGGTCTTTCTTCACACCGAATCTTTCACGCCGTGCCTGTGCGCGAACATATTTGCAACAACACACTCGCACGCGACCCCCCCCCCCCCCCCCCCNCGACCGCGGTCTCCTCGAGCGTGCGCCGAGAGCGAGCACGAATCTGCGTACACTCTGTAACACAATCGAATTACTTAATAATAATAGCTAAAGAACTAACTCTTAAAGTGGAACCCGTCGATGTGTGTCGATTTAATTATATCGCCCGCCTTACGCGCGGTTTAATCAAACTGAACCAATAATATAAATGCATTTTTGAGACTAATATATTGACTTTACAGAGACTTAAGCCTGAAACTACCGATGGAACTTTTTTCATACGAATTTCTACTCAACACTCTCCACCGCGAGTACCTGTCAGTGCTCTTCAGTGCTCGGAATGCGAGACGCGCGAGACATCTCGCCGCACTTCCAGTCGCCTCGTCGATGCCTCTCGAAGCATTCGACAGATCTTGTGTCCGCCAAATCTCACATTTTCCTTTTCCCTTTACAAGCGCTTCAATTGGTGTGATTTTCGTTTTTTTTTTTTTCATTTTTGTCGTCTCGTCTGATTTTCTGTTTGGCTTTTTTTCTCTCCCTTTCATGGAGCCCCCGAGCGTGATCACACTTTTTCCGAGAAGCCCTCTCTCGTGTTTCACGATCCAATTCGCGTCGTCAAGATGTGATTTTACTTTTTTATTTCCATTCGACTCCCCCCCCCCCCCCCNCAGACCACTCGTCAAGTTTGCGTAACGCGTCGCGTGATCATGTCGCCGACTTATTCCGAGTTAACGAGAACTGATACAGGACTCGTCGGGGATGCTGGCGTGCCGAGAGACGAGCGGATGAAAACTTCTTTCGTACTCCTTAAGGAACTTTCGTCGAGCTGAACGCCCGAGGCATTCTGAGTAGGTAGCTTAGTATTCGATGTCCGCGTGCAGCCCGTCGCTTAATTTTCGTCGGATGGACGAGTCAAATCGGGATCGTTCGTTCGGGGTAGAAAACGATATCATTTCTCACTTGATCGAAGCTCTCTCTTATCGACGGAGTGCGTTAGTGCAATTTTCGCGGAAGAGGGGATAGGCCGATATATCGTAGAAATCATTGCGATCATAATTGATAATGATTATTAGCAGAAAAATCATACTTTGATTATTGTGTCCACGTGTGCGACTTACATGGGAGGAACGGCCAATAGTGGCGCGTGGCTGACGCGAGGTCAGCGACAAGCGAAGTCGTCCAACGTGGAAATTTATTTCTTCGATCTTGCGACGGTTTCTCGCGGGTGAGTTTGACGAACGGCGGAGAGAGAGAGAGAGAGAGAGAGAGAGGGGAGGAGAGAATGTTTGAACGAGCGCCACGTGATTTTTTTTCGAATCGAGAAACACTTTTACAATGAGGATGACGGACAAGAAGAGCCGGCCCCGATTATATTGTACCGTTTTCTTCGATTATATGCTCTAAGTTGTACGTACAATTCTGTAAATATTGTAACGAGTGGTACTGCGGAGGGGAAAAATTGCCGGTGATGTCGCGCGGCGGGACAATGATATAAAAACTTTTATGTTATTTATGAGAGAGAAAGAAGGAGAGAGAGAGAGAGGGAGAAAGAGAGAGGAAGCGAACGTTTGCGGTATGAGAAGGAGGAGGAGGAACGTAAAGTTTTCGAGACGAAGGGAGGGATTTGACTTTGCGAACCGGGGCTCCACTCTGCGTTTTCGTTTCGATTCACTTTTAATCGTATCGGCTCGAGGATCGCTTCGATCAGTTATTCTCACGAGGACGTAGACACCGCGACACCCTCGTACGCTGCGTTTGCATCGCTGTCAAATCGATTCGATGTAGCTTACGATTAGACTTTAGATCATTACAGGTTGTTTCGGATACGCTCTGTGCAGGTGTGTTTAACGGAAGAAAAGAAGAAAAAAAAAAAATTGCGACAATACCATTATTTCGTGACTCGACGCCAGTTGTTTAGGTATATGAACCACGTACCCGTGCGAACAAAGAAATGCGCAGCAGTTGAAATATTATAGGTATTATATTCATGTTTTTATGTAAATAAATTTTTGGTATATTTCAATCATCGTCGACTTGTATTCTGACCCTTTCCCTGTCACCCGCCTCGTATCCGTCTCGCGGGATGTTTATTACGGAAGCTCGATACAGGTCGCACGGTATATTACGGTAATTTTGCTCCCGCAGAAATTGCGATAATATCAACATTGTTGGCAACAGCGAAGCACAAAACGAAGAGCGTCCGATCTCAAGTGACGAGGGGTACAAATTTGATCCATGACGAGGCTAATCATATTTCGGCATTTTCGTCGAGGGAGAGTACGATTTTCAAAGATTCTACTATCAACCAACAAATTCCGGCGACCGGCGAAAGAAACGCTTCGACGGATTCCGCGTTTTTCGTCTTTCACACGGCGCGCGGCGTTTTTGCGCGAGTCTCTCGCGCGGCTCCTCTTGGAATTTCAAACCGAGCGGCCGCCGGCCCTTCTGCCGGCGGCGTATATAAGTGGCAAAAAGGCGCGCGCTTCCGGTCATAAAAGCGCCTTAATAAAAAGCCCTCGTTTTTAATATTCCCAAGCCGTGTGTGAGTAGCGGCGCCCGTAGATACACATAAACTTCCGCGGTATTGAATTTTCCAGCTTTTCCCGCCGCGCGTACCGAGCCGACGTAACGCCGGTGTAACGTAAAACCCGTAGGTAGACACTTGTAGTGGTAGTAGACGGTTGCTCCGCGGAATATTCGCTTCGATACGCTCCTTTTTCCCCGCTTTGTTCTCATACATCAACGATAGTCCGCGCGCGCGTCTCTCCCCGGGCTCCGATTCATAATTCATCCGTCGCGTTCTCTGTCGTCGATTCTCCCCGTTGGCGACCCCGCCTGCGATTAATTAAACCGGCCGATGAATTCGTGACAAGCGGCGATCGCGCCCAATCGCGCTCGATACGAACGCACAAAAGCGTGCGTCGCTCTCCGAGGAGGAGAATCTGCCAGCTCAGCCGATGACTTCAGATGGCGCCGGCAACCGGCGTATTGCGGAGAAATATTGCGGGAAAGGTGCATCTTCGCCGTCGCGTCACTATTTTCGTCGCATGACGAGACCGCTGCTGAAGTAACCGCAGGAATGATTTGTGAGACGCACGGCGACGATCGTAGCGGCGGAAAGTAGCCGAGATTGCTTCGCGAAATTTAAGAGCGGGGACTTCGACGTGAGCGATCGGCCGCGCTCTGGACGAGCTGAGACGGTCGGAGAGGCGAGGGAGTTGCGAGCACTTCTGAAATGAAACGAAAACTCAGCACAGACGGCGAAAGAGCTTGCAGAATAACTTGCAGCGACTCAAGCCGCGCTCGTTTCCGAGCGATTACGCGCGGGGATGGAGGAGGGAGGATCCGAAGGGAGGAAAAGTGGGCGCCGCATCAGCTGACCGAGGAGAATTGTGCGTTTTGACGCTTCTCGCACGAGACGTTGACGGGACAACGAAAGAAGAGTTTCTCGTGGCGAATCGTGACGCGAAGAATGGGTTTAAACTGTAATGACGCTGAGCGCAAAAAATCGTGGGCGAATCTCGGGGCAACTTCGACACCGATACGTAACGTACAGGGTAAAAAGTCACTCCTCTGCATCCGGTGGAATGAACATGGAATACTGGATCGCGAGCTCGTTCCGCCGGGTCAAACGGTCACGATATATGCACCAATTAAACCTTTCCTTTGTATCAGGCACTTCAAAAGAAACAGCCGGCATACGCCTCGAAACGACGCAAGGTCATTTTATTCCACGACCATGCGAGTCGTCCCCTATCGCTCGTGGCGTCAAATAAACGCTGTGTGATCTCGAATAGGAAGTCTTTCCCCACCCAGCGTACCACCCAGACATCGTCGGTGATTACCACCGTATTCCGGCCGACGCAACGCACAGCTTCTCGGATACACACTTTCGAAATGAGGCGGGCGCTAGAAAATGGGTCGACGACTTCATCGCGTCGGAAAATGTGAGGATATTCCTTCGCTGGGAAAGATAACGAAAGGCCGAAGATGCAAACGTCAAATAGGAAGTTGTCGCCGTTTCCTCTATTTGGAGACTTAACGTAGAACTAAATAGGCTTAACGTGAAACTAAAATTCCGGCTCGGGCTCGTTGAAAGCCTGTATCCGGCCGATAAGGTGTCAGCTGTCAAACTGCGAAGCAGCGGACAAACGCTCGCGGCGAGCGCGAAGCGGCTTTTCCGCGAAGTTCCACGGCAATTGCCGTGGCATATATCGCCTACGGCGCGTTTTGCTTCATAACACGGGGAAGATTGACGTAAATAAACGAAATTGCCGGGCGGCCGTTGCCGAGAAAGAGAGGGAGAAAGGATGACAGAGGGGAGGCAAGAGAGAGAAAGGGACAGAGAGAAAAAGCATGCGCGGGGGTACTGTTTTATGGATTCTTTTTACGACTTATGGCAGTCCTGCGTTCTACTTTGCGTTTACGTCATACGCGACCCTCCAGCGTTTACGCGCGCCGCTATTTGAGGGAGGGGAAGGGCTCACCAGGGGCTGGGAGGGGGAAGTGCAGAGGCGGGGGACGTAACGCGGTTGCCAACGGCGAGGGCCCTTCGAAATTTCTATCTTCCTTCCTTTCCAAATTCTGTAAAAGCGTCCCACGTGCGCGCATAAAACGTCTCCCTCGTTGCGTCACTGTCCGTCTCGGAGCTGTAACTTTCACACACACACACACATACATACACACACGGGTCCCTCTCCTTCCCTCGTCCCGCGTCTCTGACACGCAGAGCGCGATATAAAATTGTTTTATTAAAATATTACCGCGCGCGGCCTGTCCCGGCTGCCTCTCGTGCGACGAATTATCGATGCGACGCGGCTCCGATATTAAACGAGGGATTATCGCGGCGCGATTAAGCTCGAAGACGGTAATCTCGAAAAGTGCTCGGAGGGGATTTCGGATTAGTTCCGAGCTCTCTCAGCAAAATCGGGAAAAAGCGCATTACGCATTCCAGGGTGACAAACAAGAGGAGGAAGAAGAAGAAGGGAAGGAAGCGCGCGTGG